GGTGGGCTAAGATGACAGAGCACCTGTCACAGAAACCAAGAGGAAACTACATGTGACCACCTGGGTCGTGTTGCAGGGTAATGGAAAGAGCATTTGATTTGGTGTTGAGAGCTGAGTGCTAACAGTGTCTCTTCCACTAACCAGTTGGGCATATTGTCTCACTGTCTTTACCTTTTTTTTTTTTTTTTCCAAAAAAAGGAATTACACGATACTTAATGGAATATTTAAAAAATGAAATGATCTTTATGATGCAAAAAAAATACTGAAAGCAATCTAAAGACTCAGTAATGGAGGATCACAGTACATCTTAAAAAAAATTATTCAAAACTTTCACTGTGTAAGACATAGGAGGCTGAGCCATCCTTTCTACCAGATGGAATTTTTTAAGGTTCTTTGTTAAGTTGCTGAACTTTTAGCTTTTCATTCTTTGGAGTTGATTGTTGATTTGGGTTTTTCTTCGATGCTCCCAAACAAGCTTCTTATATGTGTGCATTTATTTTTCAGTTAGTGACAATTTTTAATGAATCTTGTTTCACCCATAGGTGAATTTCCATAGCACTTTATGTATAATTTCCTTAGGACACTTGAAATTTCTATCTTGTACTATACTAGTAGTTACACATGAGCATGTTTTATTTTCTGCTAGACTTTAAGCTGATCTAGAGCAAGAATTTGTTATGTAACTTTTCTTAGTATTCCTAGCTCTTTGAGTAATGATGATTTTCTTTTTTACATGATTGGCCTCTAGGTATTCTGACTATAAATGAATAAGAATGCATCAATATTTAAATACTGGAAAAGGGTGGAGAATGTTCCTCTCCATCAAGTTTGGTATTTGCCAGCCCTGTTTTTTTTGCTCAACATAATTAGGTAGGTAGATAGAAAGTTAGATAATTCTATTTTGTTCAAAACGGAAGCTTTTCTATATTTTTTAGTTTTAAAAAATGAACATGTAAAACTTTTTTTTTAAACTAAACTATTTTACAAACTGGAACTGGATTTAAAGGTGCTAATAAATTCCTTCATCCCAATTTTCATTTATCTTCCACATTTAAGCTCTAAATAAATAATATGCATAAGACATTCAGGCATGCATCTATATTTACGAAGTGTTGCCATTTTGCCAGTTCATACAAAGTGCACTTTTCTTCATGTTTATATAAAGAACTGTTTTAAAAATTGTTATTTTAAAATGCATATAAAACGGTTTCTTAGACACGACACCAAAAGCACAAGTGGCAAAAGAAAAAATAAATTTAAAAAGATAAAAATAAACATCATCAGAATTAAAAACCTTTGTGCTTCAGAGGGTACCATCAAGAAAGTGAAAAGACAACTCACAGAATGGGAGAAAATATTTGGAAACAATATACCCAATAAAGGGCTCGTATCTAGAATACATGAAGAACTATTACAACTTAATAATAAAAAGACAACCCATGAAAAGAATGAGGAGCCAAGTCACAGAATGGGAGAAAATATTTGCAAAAGACATATTTGAAAGAGGACTGTTATTAAAAATATACAAAGAACTCAAAACTCAACAATTAGAAAATGAACAACCTGATTTAAAAAAAATGGGCTAAAGACTTGAACAGACATGTCACCAAAGAAAATATACAGATGGAAAACAAATATATGAAAAGATGCTCAACATCATATGTGAAGCAAATCAAAAAGATTTGATCACTATACACCTATTAGAGTGGCCCAAATCCAGAACACAGATGATGCCAAGTGCTGGAGAGGATGTGGAGCAGCAGGGGCTCTCATTCACTGCTGGGGGAAGTGAAAGCCTTACAGCCACTTTGGAAGATGGTTTGGCAGTTTCTGATAAAACTAAACAGACTCTAACCATATGATCCAGCAGTCATGCTTCTTGATATTTACCCAGAGGATTTGAAAACTTATGTTCACACAAAAGTCTGCACATGGATGTTTATAGCAGCTTTATTTATACTTACCCAAACTTGGAAGCAACCAAGTATCCTTCAGAGGGTGAATGGTTAAATAAACACTGATACATCCGTACAATGGTATATTATTCAGTGCTAAAAATAAATGAGCTATCAAGCCATGGAAAGACATGGAGGAACCTTAAATGCGTATTACTATGTGAAAGAAGCCAATCCAAAAAGGCCTCTATAACTATATGTCAACTACATGAGATTCTGGAAAAGACAAAACTATGGAGACAGTAAAAAGATCGGTGGTTGCCAAGGTTAGGGAGGGTGGAGGGATGAATAGGCAGAGCATGGAAGATTTTTTTGGACAGTGAAACTATTCTATCTGATACTATAATGGTAGATATATATCATTCTACACTTATTGAAATTAATAGAATGTACAACACCAAACGTGAGCCCTAATGTCAACTACGGACTTTGGATGATAATGTGTCAATGTAGGTTCATCAGTTGTAACTAACTGCAATTATTTTTGATAATTGATTGCGGAGGCTGTGTCAGAGGGGCAGAGAGTATATGAGAACTCTGTACTTTCTGCCCAATTTTGCTGTGAACCTAAAACTTCTTTAAAAAAAAAAACCTATTAAATCTTACCATTTGTGACAGTGTGCATGGACCTAGAGGTTATTATGCTAAGGAAATAAGTAGCAGAGAAAAGTAAATACCATATGATTTTGCTTATATGTAGACTCTAAAGAACAAAATAAATGAATATATGAAATAGAAACAGACTCGTGGATGCAGAAAACAAACTGATCGTTGCCAGATAGGAAGGGATTTGAGGGACTAAGTGAAAAGGGTGAAGGGATTAAGAAGTACAAATTGGTAGTTACAGAATAGTCACAGGGATGTAGAGTACAGCATAGAGCATATAGTCCATAATATTGTAATAACTATGTACAGTGCCAGGTGGGTACTGGAAATATCAGAAGGAACACTTTGTAAAGTATATGGTTGTCTAATCACCATGGTGTACTCCTGAAGCTAATTCAAAATAGTATTGAATGTAAACTGTAATTGAAAATGCAATTAAAAAAATAAAATCTATTATTAAAAAGACAACTCAGTTTAAAAAATGAACAAAGAATCTGGATAGACAATTCTTAAAGAATATATATAAATGGACAGTAAGCACATAAAAACATGCTCAACATCATTAACCATCAGAGAAATGCAAATCAAAACCACAGTCAGCTACCACTTCACACCCATTAGGATAAGTATAATAAAAAGGATGAACAATGACATTCATATGGATGTGGAGAAACTGGAACCTCCTACACTGCGTAAATGAGAATGTAAAATGGGGTATTCTAATTGGAGAAGAGTCCAGCAGTTCCTCAAATCATTAAATATAGAGTTACCATATAATCTTCCCATTCCATTCCTAGCTATAAACCCAAGGGAAATGGTGATGTATGTCCACACAGAAAAGTGTACATGAATGTTAATAGCAGCATTATTCATAACCACTAAGTGGAAACATGTTCACCAACTGATGCACAGGTAAACAAATGTGGTGTCTCCATACAATGGAATATTATTCATTATTTGACAATAAAAAGGAGTGAAGTACTGTCACATGCTACAACATGGATGAACGTGGATGAACTTTGTAAACATTATACTAAGGAAAAGAAGCCAGTCACACTGAACCTTATATTGTATGATTCTTTTTATATGAAATGCCCAGAATACTCTAATCTATAGAGACAGATGGTAGGTTAGTGTGGTTGCCTAGCACTAGGGGATATGGGCAGATTGGAGGTGACTCCTAAGGAGTGTGGGGTTTCTTTTTTGGGGTGCTGAAGATGTAAAAATTGATGTGGTGATGGGATGCACAACTCTGGTAATATACTAAAAGCCATGGAACTGTAATATTAAATGGGTGAATTATATGGTATGTGAATTATATCTTAGTAAAGCTATTACAAAATGCATATAGAATCTCTAAAAATAAAACCATGTTTTGACCTGTCTTGCTGAAAATGCAAGCAAAATAAACAAATGAACCCTCTCCATTTATTTCAAAGATGCAGGAGTTCTGACTGCCTTTAGCTATCAAATAGTAGAAAAGAACTTTGTTACAGCATAGATAACATGAAGTTGGAAAAACACACACACAGAAAAACAGGCTTAACTCCACATTTCATAACTTCAGGCATGTGGAATGGGACTACTTTTTGAGACTATGTACCCAGTGTTTAATTTTCAAATAATTATTTTGGTATTAACATAAATGTAGATCTTATATTGGCAATGTGCTATGTTGCTTTTGTCTATTTAGTTTACAGTGTAAAGACTGTTGCTATTTCAATTCTCCATGAGAACCTAAGCAAGCACAGGAATTACTTATCATAGAGGGAGTGCAGAGTAGTGGTTTGGAACTTGAACTTTGGAGTCATATACTGTGGTCCTATTTCTACCTCTGCCATTAACTGGGGTCTTCTCTGGGTTTATCTTTATCCTAGGCTGCTGTTATAATTTAAAAAATTAATACATATAAAGCACTTAAACCAGTACTAAATTCATAGTTTCTTTGTTTTCTTATTTTGGCAGCCTTCCTATATATGTATTAGGTAGAGCTGCTACATCTCGCGGGCTTGGTAAAGTGGCCTAATGTAGTAGGTGTCCTACAGAGTCCCATGGCACAGCCTTCTTGTTCACCTGAGCTGGGCACTCCAGGTGTGCCCCCTGCCATTTGGGCTATGTTTTTATCCACCACATGTGGGTGTGGGACCAGCCCGTTTTGTGTCTCCATCCCTCTTACCAGTCTCTATGTGGCTTATTTATATCTTTGGTTGTAGGACTTCTGTTCAGCTAGACTTCAGGTGGTTTCAGTTAGATTGTTCTGTAGTCTAGTTGTATTTTTGATATGGTTGTGGGAGGATTTGAGTATCGCATTTACCTATGCCACCATCTTGAGCAGAAGCTCTCAATTCTGTCTTTAAGCCTTTTGGTTGGAGTCTTCTGGCTGCAGTACTCAGTGGCCAGGACGTCAGACGGTCCTCATCTGTTGTTTCTTCTCCCCAGTGTCCAACAAGCACCCATTCGTGGACAGCAATCTTCTCTACCAGTTCAGAATGAACTTCCGGCGGAGGCGAAGACTCATGGAGCTGCTCAATGAAAAATCCCCTTCCCAGGAAATGCATGACAGTCCCTTCTGCCTGAGGAAGCAGAGCCACGACAACCGGAAATCTACCAGTTTTATGTCAGGTAGGTCAGTTCCATTGTTAATTCGACCACATGTTTTTGTCTTTTGAGAAATTATGTTCTCTAGCAAATTTTTATTTATTCATAACTCAGAAGTATGCAAAAGAAAACAACAACCACCAAATTGTTCCTGGGGAGTCAAATTAGATTATCATGAAGTCTGTTTTATAAAATTATGTATTTGAGTTATAGAAGAACTCTGAAGACCTGAAACCTATATGTTCATGTTGACCAATGTCACCCCAATAAATTTAATAAATAAAAAAAGAAGACCTCTCAAGCTGTTACTCACACCTTATTTACTTTTCATTTGTAAACAATTGTTATCATTAGTTGTACAGTGTTCTAAATTACAGCACTGAAAAGCTATATATTTTAAGAACGAATAAAGACTTCAGAGGGCATATGCAACTAAAAGGCAACTGGTTATCAATCAATTATGAAAGGGTGACACAGAACAAAGAAAAACTATGGAAAGCAGACATCAGCTCATAAAGCACAATAGCTTGGGATATTACATGTAAGATTAAACAGTCTCATATTGACAGTTAAGCCTGACAGAAATGATGGAGACTGATGTCCTCAGATATAATTGCATTCATCCAGAAGAGGTTAGCCTGATGTGTCATTCTGTGTGAAAGGCTGAGGAGCTTAAACGGGTATCAGATCCTCTGAAAACTTGGCATTGACTGTGTTTGGCCTAAGGTCTGAAAGCTCTGGGCTTAACCTGAGGGCAAAATGTCCATGGGTGTCTTGGCTGTGTATAGGGAGTGATGATGAGGACACGTGCAACTGTATTGAGAATTTTCTGTGCCCCTGTCAGTGAGTCAAGTTTGATTGCTCATTTAGTTCTCACAATAACTTGAAGAGGAAAGATTTTCTTTTCTCCATTTTATGGGCGCCCTACAGTGTGGTCATCTGTAAATTCAGATTAACTATTCACAAAACTAGTGCTAAGTTTTGTCTTTTTTTTTTTTTTTTTAATGGGCCCAACAGAGTAAGTAATGATGATGATAAGGAGGATATAGTAACCATGGTCACCATAAAAACAGCTTTTATTTTGTGTTTCTCATGTGCCAGGCACTAAGCTGAGTTCTCTCCATGGCCTCTTTCACTCATCATATATACCTGGATTTCCTCTCCCTTGTTGAGAGCCAGCCAACTTCGTGGCAGAGAGAACCAGATCAGATCATTGAAGCCTCTGTCTCACATACACTTTCAAAGCCTAAATATGTGCTGTGTATTTTAATCTCCTCTTCCATGGCTCTGGCTGAGTCATGATTTCATATGAAAGCAGGAGGCATTTATCTTTATTGTTAATTGGTTAAGTGTATACCAACACTTAATTTACTTCCTTCCAGGGACTGCTCAGCATGGGTTTAGTGGTTCTTCAAATAATATTTTATGTAGCTGAGGACTTGCACATACATTATATAATCCACTTTATGCACCAATCCTTGATATAGTATTATTCTCACTTTATAGTTGGGTAAGTTGAGGCTCAGAGAACTGAAGGAAATGGCCTCAAGTTATGCAGTTGGTAAATGGCAGAGTTGCTACTCAAATCCTTGCTTTTCTCACTCTGAAGCCAGAATGCTTTTCCCGGCACAGGTAACTGGCCTCTGTACCTGGCGGCTGAAAGCCCATGTCCTCTAGGGAACCAAAACCACCACCCTCAGTGACCTTGTGTTTTTCCACCCGCAGTCAGCCCCAGCAAGGAGATCAAGATCGTGTCTGCCGTGAGGAGGAGCAGCATGAGCAGCTGTGGCAGCAGTGGCTACTTCAGCAGCAGCCCCACCCTCAGCAGCAGCCCCCCTGTGCTCTGCAACCCCAAATCTGGTGAGTGGTCTATGACCTGGGGGACTTGGGCAGATATGCGGGCTGGGTTCCCTGGGGACTGGGTTCCCTGAGGGCTGGGTTCCCTGGGAAGCAGATTCTCAGACTGAGGGAGACTAGTATGTGGGGATCTTATTATCGTGTGTCCTTAGGGTCAAGAACTGTTGATTGGAAAGGAGGGACGTAGGGCTGGGCAGAGGAAAACAGAGCTGCAAGCCCTCTCGGTAGAGGCTGCAGCTAACCCAAGGGGAGCTCTGGATTTGGGGTAGTCCTTCACAGTTGTCCAAATTTCAGGCGAGATGGCCAGGCCTTTGTACCTTTATGTTGATTAGTCATTAAGTGTTGGCTGCCCCTGGGAAGAGGGTGTGACCTTGAGCAAGAGAGATAGTTGCAAAAACTATTGAGAGCATTGGCATCTGAGGGCTGTCTGCCATTAGCAGTCCTGGCAGCTGGGAGGAGACCCTCAGTCAGTCCTGAAGGAGGGTTTGAGCAGCACATCAGTCTTCCACAGAGCAAGGGAACTAGGGATTCCCCACACTGCAACCAATGCAAAGAGCTGTGGGTCCCCAGCACCCCTAAGGAAGAAGCATGGTCTATGCAAACCCAACTGTACCTGTAATTGATTCTTGGTGCCTGGTGGTTTCCAACTCTATTCATCGACCTCTTGGCCTTTACATTACAGAAAAAATCTAGGCATAAAGATTGTTGATAAGCCCTAGCTGGGTAGCTCAGTTGGTTAGAGCATTGTCCCGATAAGTGAAGTGCAGGCTTGATCCTCAGGCAGGGCACATACAAGTATCAACCAATGAAAGCATAAATAAGTGGAACAACAAATCAATTTTTCTATAAGTAAACAAATAAATAAATAAAATGTTTTAAAAAAGACTTTTGATGAACTTGGACTTAGAAGCAATCCTTCCTTGCCCTAATTAGTTCTTCAGTCCCACAGGAGCCTGTAACCCATTGATACTACCACCTTCTCATGGCCCCTTACCCACCTACTTCCCAGGATTAGATTTCATGGTCCTTCATGATAATCATTGCCTTGAAAATACCCTCAACTCCATTTGTTTAGTGCTCTGTTCATCCTAGTTCAATATATTACCTTCAGGGAAAAGACTTTGTTTCTTTGGTCATGTTTCCTTATCACCAGATGTTGGGGATACAAAGATGAGAGGTCATGGCCCCTACCCTCAGTGAATACATCTCTTTAGAGAAAAAAAAATCATTATGCATTAGTGAGAATAAGGACAAATAGATGTTGTTCGAAGGGCTTTAAGAGAAAACTCTGTCATGTAATGCTATTATGTAGGCAATTGGGTATATAAAAATATACTTTATTGATTTTGAGAGAGAGAGGAAGGGAAAGAGAGAGAAAGAAACATCGATGCAATGTAGGTGCGGAACATTGATTGGCTGCCCCCTGCATGCTCCCTACCAGGAATCAAGCCTGCAACCCAGACATGTGCCCTAACCTGGAATCAAACCAGTAACCTTTCGGTGCATGGGATGACACCCAACCAAGTGAGCCATACTGGCCAGGGCGGGTATTTTTTTTTTTTAATCTAACCTCCCCCCACCCCCCACCTTTGGGAGCGTTAGCTCTAAGAATAAAGTTGTAACTTGCAAGGGAATGAAGAAACTTGCTTCCACACTGACTCTCACTGGGAAATCAGGGAGCACTCATAAACTACTGCAATAACATGGATGGTATTATACTAAGTGGGATAAGTCAGACAGAACAAGACAAATACTATATGATCTTACTTATATGTGGAATCTAAAAAACAAACTCATAGACATAGGGAACAGTTTGGTGGTTGCCAGAGATGGGGGATGGGTTGGGCAAAATGGGAGAAGGTGGTCAAAAGGTGCAAACTTCTAGTCATAAAATAAATATGTACTGGGGATATAATGTACAGCATGGTGACTATAGTCAATAACATTGCATTGTGTATTTGAAAATTGCTAGGAGAGTAGGTCTTAAAAGTTCTCATCACAAGAAAATAACACTTGTTACTGCGAGTGGGGATGGATGTTAGCCCACTCCTTAGCCTACTCCTTGCTTCCCTTTACCTGCTCCTTTTCCTCTTCTTTCCATAGCTCTGCAAGTTAGGTGTGGGCTTATTTGTTTGCTAATATTTTCTGTCTTTACTCGGCTAGAGTATAACTGTGAGGCAGGGATTTTTCTTTCCCCCTTTTGTTCCCTGATGGTCACAAATGAGGCATTCAGTAAAGTATCTGCTGAATGAATGAATGAAGGGTGCACCTTGATTTTGTGTCTGTCTTACAGTGTTAAAGAGGCCCGTCACTTCTGAGGAACTCCTGACTCCCGGAGCACCGTATGCCAGGAAGACATTCACAGTAGGCTCATTATTTGGTTTTTCTCCTGTGCTGCTCGTTTTTCTGGGCCTTGTCAATATGTCAGTGTGCCAATGGGTATTTTACAGATGGAATGGAAGAACCTCTTAATTTTCCTTTTTGTTTTTGGCATAATTATAACAGTGGGCTTTCTTGATCCTTAGGCACTAAAATGACATGATTTATTATTAATATAGCATTGTAAACTCCTTTGATGTGTACTTTAAAAAAAGCTTTCTATTATGTAATATAATTACAGACTTTAGGGCAAATGGTAGTACAATAGTCAATAATTCCTTCTGGGTTACAGTTAGTTCTACTTAAATTGTTTAAGACATTAGGGAGTCTTTAGACAGAGAAAGAAAACTGTGGGATAAATTGTTCTACAATAAGGAGTGGTGCTTTTGACCATGTTAACATGTCTTGAGTTATACACACACCTGATTGGGGAGCACTGGGTACCTGTGAGCATCTCCTGACCACGTGCCTCTTCTTGGAGGTCCCTCAGCCTTCTACCCACTCTGCTTGACAACACCTCACCCCCTCTCCGTCCCCTGGCCTCTTCCTTCAGTCTCTTCACATCTCCATCAATTGCCTCTAAACACTTCTCCTTTTCTAACTTTTATTTTATGGACTCAAGGGGAGAAACTCTTTGCACACTCATTTACACTGCAAACATCTATCAAGGACTACTTCCCATTCTGGACACTGAGGAGCTAAAATAGGATGGTCCCAGTCATAGCCAGTCAATATGAAAAGACACTGCTAATACCTCTGCCTCAGGGGAAAAGTTAAACTGCATTTGGGGGTGAAACTAGGTATTCTGAACTAATAACAGAAAACCCTAAAATCAATCATGTGCCTAAAAGTCTTTTTGAGAATATGCACAGAAATTTCATTGGTTTCCCTGCCTTTCCTCCGTGTCTAGCATTCAAGAGACAATTGATTGCATTTTTTAAAATATATATTTTTTATTGGTTTCAGAGAGGACGGAAGAGGGAGGGAGAGTTAGAAACATCAATGAAGAGAGAGAATCATTGATCGGCTGCCTCCTGCATGCCCCATACTGTGGATAGAGCCAGCAACCTGGGCCATGTGCCCTGACTGGGAATCGAACTGTGACCTCCTGGTTCATAGGTCAATGCTCAATCACTGAGCCGTGCCAGCCAGGCTTGATTGTATTTTTAAAGTATTAAAGTATTTCTTTTTGGTTTTTTTTTTTTGGTCTTATTCCTGATTTTTTAAATTATTATTTTAAAAAATCTTTATTGTTGAAAGTATTACATCCCCGGTGGTTTTAAATTTCAGTGCCAGCCTTGCTAGGAATTGATTGTGAATGTGTTTCATCTGTACTTTAGTCGAAGACATGACTGGGAGCCACCCAGGGATGTAACTGCCATTTCTAACAATGATTCTATAGGAAAAGGCACCCTCTGGCTTCAAACAACTTTTAGACCAGCATCTACTTGTAAATTGTGAGCTTTGTGTACTTTTTCACTTTCTTTTGTTGGTAGAAAATTGTGTTTCAGGAAAGCCAAGATTCTTCCTATTTCTTACCATTAGTAATTTAAATTATTATTTTAGACTACAGTGACATAGCATATCATCAAGAAAGTATCATTTGAATTTAGGGGGAAAGAGCAAAGCCAGTCAAAATTGGATCTGGAGAGAAGATTCAAGCATGTGTTTAAGACCCTCTAACCTTCCTATCTGCTGAAATTGTATAGCAACCTGAGAGAGAGGCAACCTGCCCGGTACTTATTGATCAGTGCCTTCACAGAAGCTGTTTTCTGCCAAACAAGTGTTTCCCAACCACAGTTTCTGCATCGATATGCCTGTGTTAAAACAGAAGCAGAGTGTTCCTTCCACTCCTGACAGGGTAGAGATGAGACAGAAGAGATCTGCCACTGCTCGTACTTCATCCTGGGCTGGCTCGCTCTCTCTCTCTCTCTCTCTCTCTCTCTCTGGGAAGGTCAGGAGAATTGCCAGGGGCCGTCTGCTGATTGCTCACTGCGGTTTTCCTCTCTAGATTGTTGGTGACGCTGTTGGCTGGGGCTTTGTGGTGCGAGGAAGCAAGCCATGCCACATCCAGGCCGTGGACCCCAGTGGCCCTGCGGCTGCGGCGGGAATGAAGGTACCTCCAAGAGAGCGGTGTCTGAATACCTCTCGCTTCATTTCATTGTTGGTGCCATCTGTATGTACTTTGTCACCCTAAGTGTTTGGTCCCATTTTTTTTAAGTTTCCCTTTCCCTTTCTGAATGGGGTTGAAATGAAGCCCAAAGGGTATGATGTAGCAACAAGGAGGAAAAGTTGTCCTGTCCCTCTCACTGTGCCTCCTGGGGCTCCAAACCTTCCTTGGTTTTTCACATTTCTTCCCTTAACCAACACTGAGCTTGAAAAAATGTTTCTTTTTGCATAAATCTTATCTAATAACTCTACTACTTCTGTCTTATACGAAGTCTGTTCCTGTGGGAAGAGAGCTGGATTGACATTTTGGTTCTGCTGGTTACTAGCTCGTTGACTTGGAATAAATTCCGTAGCATCGCACAGCCAGTCCCTCCTGTCTGGAATGATGACCAGATTCTTTCTGCAGTTTTAGGGATTAAATATGTAGAAACTCTAGATGAAGCACAAAGAACTACACAAACATAAAAAAAAATCGAACGAATTATATAAGATTTTTTGAAAATAATTTTTACATGTTTTTAGTACAAAAGTAGTGCGTACATAGTCAAGAAAATTTGGAAAATGCAGAAAAGCAGGAAAAAATTATAATTGCCTATAATCTTTCCTAACTCAGAGACAACCACTGTTAAATTTTAAACAACTTTATTGAAGTATAATTGACATGCAGTAAAGTGTAGCACTTTAATATTTTGATTTATATGCTTCCAGACTTCTTGTATGTATGCATATATATGTACATACACTTATATACATCTATATATATACATATGCATATACATATATATACACATATGTATATACACACACATACACACATTGCTTTTTATTTATACCAAAATATGCTATAAGAGGATGTTGAGTGCATTGGCTTTCTGCTTCAAAACACCTTTATCTAGCATCATGGTTCCTTCTTCTGTCATCTGCAAAACATTCCACAGAGGTCATTTATCTCATGATTATCTGGGGCCATGGAAGGTTGCGGAAGGCTTGAAGGCCATAGCTCATTGCCCTGCTCATTTCTTCACCACTTTCATCCTCTCCCATCAATCCTTTCCCCAGAGCAGTAAACCAGTGACGCAACAGGCACGACTTGCATCTGCGCAGCTCTGATTTCCAGCACCTTCCCTCTGGCACTGCTTTTCCCTCTGGAAAAGGTGGGCGCAGAGACTGGCTCCCTGGAGCACAGCACGGATTCCCACCAGTCTGGGTAATCAGTGCTGTTTTGCTTAGGGGTTGACTCTGCCCCCCACACCCCCAATTTGAACACCCTGTTCATACCAGGAAGTGCCGGCTCCCAGGTCCTGTGCTCTGCAAGTCACGGAAGCCTTGTTGGCTCAGGTGGCCTGTGTTAGACGCCCTTCCCAGCTCCTCAGTTCTGCAGTGGGCACAGCACCAAAGGAACCCGGAGCCGGAAAGTTGGCTGGGAGCATAAAGGGCGAGCGTTTGTATCTGTGCCGAGGCTGACTTTTTCATTTTCTAATGGAACTCTTGGCTGTGGGAAGAGTTTTATATTTTATTTCCACAGTAAAGTGCTAGTATGAATTATTTTTGGCAGGGTGCTTTAGTCCTGAGTGTGCACTCACTTGCCACAGGGCTTTGACTTAAGCTCATTTCCTTTGGGGAAAGCAAGGGATTTATATTGAAACTAAAGACCTTGTTTTGCTTGGCCAAGTGTTTTAAATTGATTTTAGTGCATCTTCATTGATTAACATGCATAGCTTTTCTAGGCATTGTCTATTGATTAGTTAATTAACTCCTTAATGTATATACCCTGGTAGATCGGTAACCTGGTATATTTTTTTCAATTCCATATGCTCATATTTCACATGGTTTATATTCTTAGCTTCTCAGGGGCTGCACATAGTTCTCATATGCTGTAGAGCAGTATAGAATTCACTAGAGCAGCATTTCCAAAATTGTGCTACACAGCTCTCTGGTCCAACAAAATCTCCTGTCCTGCAGTTCTGTGATCAAAACAGTTTGAAGCTGCTGTATACTTTATTTTTCTCCTGGGAATTTACAAAGCACATTAGCATATTATACATTCTGTTGCATCCAGCAGGGGAGAAACCTGTTTAGATTGCCTATCACAACATTTTATCACTTAATAGAAGCACACCAGTGGAATCTTAAGATTGTTAAGATATAGCACAATAACTGCTCTAATATGCTTTTGGTCAAACTCTGATTGGAATGACTGTAGATTTAGATATAGATAGATAGATAGATAGATAGATAGATAGGATAGAATTGCAGTTAAGTGAAAATGACAGGGAATACCACACCCTTCCATATTAACTTACCTGTGTGTATTCATTTAAATTGCCTAGTACATTATTTTCTTACAGAAAATACCAAGTAAATTGTTTCCTATTTCACCATACGTATTAGTTGTAGAATAACTCCACTTACTTAAAGAACCATTTGTATTACCCATGACCTGTCACATCAGCATAGCCCTTGTGTGGCAAACTGCAGGCTGGCATGTCTGGTTGTGCCGGGAGGGGATGTGGGTGTGGACCCTACAGGAGCCTTCCCTGACCTGGGCCATGATTGAGCTGCTTGGTCTGGCTGGTAGCCTTTGTCCAAAACTCTCTCCAGAAGCTTCCTCTTGGCACCTCTGACTGGCAAGAGCTGGCCCAGGACAGTGCAAAGGGCCCCCCTTGCCTTTGTTGTTACTCTCTACACTGAACACAACCCCTCAGGTCATGGCCCGGCTTTCACCTGCTTTCCAGAGTGAACAAAGCCAGACAGGTGGGCCTTTGGGAGCTTTGCATCAGTGGGATTTTTATACTTCTGCTGTGGCATCTTAACTTCCAAAAGCAGATGATTTTGTAACTGAGTGTCTCATATGTACCATTTCTCTCTCTTTTATTCCACCTACTTATGGGATAGGAAAGTTTTCAGATGTGGACCACGGGTATGCGGGAAGGACAGGCCTCAGACTAAAGAGACTGGGTGCCATTCCCCCGTTAACACTGTCAGACCTTTCCAGACCCTAAGGAGAGCTCTTTGCCTGTTTTGGATGGAGCCCTTTGTCCATGATGAGGGGAGACCCTGAGGTGAATATTCAGATTTACATTTCTAGAAAGTCTGAAAGAACTCCAGAGAACATGTGTCCTTAAGGAATGATAAGGTCTATCTCAATTCTTTTCTAGGTTGGAATAGAGAAATCTGTGGCCTTTTGTGCCTCTGCTGCCTAGCCCAGTGCCTCCCAGCAGTTCCTGCCTGCTGCCTCTGCACAGCTGACTGGGGCTGGCGGGCTGGCCAGGCAGCCAAGCTACAGGCTGGGGCTGCTGAGATGCAGATAAAGATGTAGAGCAGGAGGGTTCCAGCTTAACTTCAGTTGTAAATGGAATTGAGTTTTAGATGATTTGGTCGAATACTAGACTTTTACACTTATCTCAGGCTTATTTGAAAATCTTGCCTTTGGCCCTGGCTGGGCGGCGCAGTTGGTTAGAGCCTCATCTCGGGTGTGGATTTGATCCCTGGTCAGGGCACAAGAATCAACCAATAATTGCATAAATAAGTGGAGCAACAGATTGATCTCTCTCTCTCTCTCTCTCTCTCTCTCTCTCTCTCTGTAAAATAAATTTATATTTTTAAAAAAAGAAAGGAAATTTTGCCTTTAATCCACTCTGTTTTTCCTCTTCCCTTCCAATGACCTCCTCTTCATCAGTAGTAGCATATTTGTTCCCAGAGACCAAAAAGGAAGCAGATGTTACAAGATATAACATACAGATTGATATCTCTCTCTCTCTCTCTCTCTCTCTCTCTCTCTCTGTAAAATAAATTTATATTTTTAAAAAAAGAAAGGAAATTTTGCCTTTAATCCACTCTGTTTTTCCTCTTCCCTTCCAATGACCTCCTCTTCATCAGTAGTAGCATATTTGTTCCCAGAGACCAAAAAGGAAGCAGATGTTACAAGATATAACATGAGATAAAAGAGAGAGCGATTAATTACAGTTCTAATAAGATGCTGTTTTATTTCATATTCTTCTGCTCCCCTCCCATGCCAGAAAACAATGATTGTAATGTTTATTGAAATTCTCACTTGAGTCAGCAACTTTGAATTTGGAGTTATTCTTATTTTGCAGGTTCTTTTACTTAAACAATGAAGTCTGTAAACCTCTGGTGGAGAAACCTTTCATTGGCATTACAACCAGAACAGAGCATGAGATATGGGAATCCTCAAAAGTTTAGTCAACCCCTTCAGTGCATTTTTTCTAGAAGAGGGTTGTTTCCTATAGTTTGTCTCTGGCAACTCTTCATCCATCCTTTAGGAATTCCATTTGGACTGGTGGCTTCTGGTCCAAAGGGGAAAGGAGGAAAGAAGAGAAGGAACTATAATGTACTGAGTGTCTTCTGCATGCCTGACCCTGCACCATGCAGGCCCTTTCTGTCTAAACACTAAACTCCTGGAGGAAGACATCTGTTCCAGGAGGACTAATTCTGTTTCTTACCTCTTTTATCTTCTTTGAAAAGATAAAAAGGCTACAGTCTAATGCCTATCACTCACTTAAATGTGACCTCATATCACAACCTTTAATGATATTTTCTTTTTTTTTATCACATCAATTCTAAAACCATTTCTGGACCACACTATCTATCATAACTTTATTTTACATGATCCTCTAGTAGCTATTCTTCAGTCTAATGAGGGCAGATTTTTTTTTTCACAAATACATTATCATTGTGCCTATATCTGCCCCTCAAGCAAATCTAATTAAGTGACTCTGGCACTTAAAATCCTCTAATGGCTTCCCATTACAATAAGTTCCAGACTCTTTCTATGGCCTACAGAGTCCGTGATCTGGGCCCTGCTACCCTGTTTTGCTTACAGCTCCATTGGCCTTGCCTCTATCTCTCCCAAATACCATGTTTGTTCCTGCCCAAGGTTGGATGACTGGTTCTGTTTTGTCATTCAAGTCTCAGATTAATTTTTTA